TTTTTTTTTTAACTGAGCAATATGAAATTTAGTAGTAGATAATAATTGATATAGCCATAATAGGGTAAACTGAACCAATTATGGACATCTCGACCCTGCTTTAAGTCGTGCTATATAGCGCGTTGACTCGAGTAAGGCGTGAGGACTCGAGTCAGTTGCCATTGGACGATGACAACTTGAGAAGCCTCAACAACAACCTGTGCGTTAGCGGCTTGATAGAAGGATGTAACCCTAAGACTTGACACCAGTAAGAGGTAACTCGAGGGCCTTGAGAACTGCTCGTGAACAATTGAGCAGGGTGACGAGAACAGTTCCCCTCATAATTATGAAGAATGCTAGTCGACCTCCCACATCTCAAGGTCGACCTCACTCACCTCGCAGCTCGAGGGCTATATATGGGCTGTCAACAGGATCTCCTGAGGGGATAATTCCCTTTACTGGCTCTAGTCAACCTCCTGTCTCTCTAGGTCGACTTCATACACCCCACTACACAAGGTGTATATCGGCTAGGGTCTCACCCCAATATTTAGCATACTTATTGGATAAAGACGAATCTTAAGGGGACATGATGGAATTTTAAACTGATTAGGATCTGATTAAGAAGTGACTAGGATATGGATAAGCATCAAATATCTGGGCAGGCTAACCGCGGGCACACGGGCATGGTATTCTAGGCAAGTATGCCCCATATGAAAGGGGTTGAGGTACCATCATGTCACAACTTTTACACACTATATACATTATATACAACTCTTTCTGCAGAGCATCTCTCTTCTTGATACTGACTCACGCATCAAAGGTTATTCGCCGGAAACTCCTTCGGCGTGGAGTTCTTGCAGGTGTTCAATTCAAATGGTTTGAAGCTCATCATGACCGGTTTGAGTCCCATCTAGGGAAGGGCCCCATCAATAATGAAATACAATACGTTTGACACACTTTTGTTTTTGCCTAAATTGATAAAAAAAAAAAAGTTCAAATATTTAAATATTTAATTGTTTCCTTCGAAATGTGAACTTTAACGATCATTTCGACTATTCAACACCAATTTTAAACAATATCGATAAAAAGATTAATTGGATCATTTGTTTACAACATAAGAAAAATTAATAACTATTTATATATATATATATATATTTGTGAAGATGACATTAAAAAATTTTGGTACGGTTAGAAAGAAGTAATATAGTTGGTGTAGATAGATCATCCCTACATTATAGTATTAAGCTGCATCATATAGTGAACTAGTCAAGTAGTGAAGACGCCACTACTTAATATATTTATCAATGCATGTGTACTTACCTAATTATTTAATCAATTACCTCCGATTCAATTTTAGTTAAATATTTGGTTGAATAATAAGTAAATTAGGGTGAAATATGTAAATAATTTATTAAACATTGTTAATAACTAATGAGACGTAGCACGATCAATATCACTATAACACACTAGCATCCAAACTCGAAGATGAGTAAAACCTCAATGACAAATATGATACGATGATCTCTAAATCAGGCCCCAAAAATTTTACAAAATTTTAAATCTCAAAAAGTCTCTAAATATCATCAAACGAATACGACCCACCTTAATTACCATTTAACAAAATCACGTGTCAACATTTATTATGTACAAAGATGTACTATCATTTTGTGTAAAATTTAAAATGTGGAGCATATTATCCAATTTGTTATGGAATCTTCAAGTCTGGTTTTCCGTAACACACACCAAGCGCGACTAATATTCTATTGCATTTCCTTACTTCTGTGTCGTGTTTAGATGTATGGGCATCGTCACCCTACATAATAAGTAGAGCCCAATTTAATTATTTGAGACCAATTTAATATTAGAAAAATGCTACGGTCCCATTACAGAATCCGTTGGGGTTTGTAACTGTTAGACTCTCCAAAGGTTACATGATGATTTAACGGTTACAAACACCGACAGAATGGTTCCGGGCGCAATATCTTCCTTTAATATTGATGCAAATAAATGTTATCAAGTCATATAGGTGCAATTTTGAGAGGGAGAGAGAGCTTGGGTTTTTTTTTTCAAACAGGGTGTGCGGCGGCTAGGCTTTCTTCTTCCGCCATGGGAATCAAATATAGAAATTTCCTCTCCGCAAGTTACTCGTCTTCGATTGTCTCGATATTCCGGCCTCCGGCGATACTTCCCTGGCACTATCGTGGTGGCATCCGCCCGATCTGAAGCCCAACATCACCAGCAACAGTCTCATGCTCGCGGTGGAGCATGTGAGCGTCAGCAAAACCCGCGATTACTCTGTAGTCCCCCCAATTTCTCTATGCTCAGAGCTCAAGCTTATTACGATGTCCTAGCAAGCTGTAACAAATGGATGTTTTTGGCGTGTGAAGCTGTTAGTGATCTTCCATATGATCTCTTGTGGAATCCTATGAAATACGAGGTGATATCCCTTCCTTTATTTGTTTGGCCGCCGCTCCTGCGTAATGGAGCGAGGTTGCGTTTCCATTGGAGTTGCTGGGGCGTAGGGTTTGATCCTTCATCTGAGGACTATAAGGTGATCCAATTTGGGCATATGGAGCACTATGATGACGAAGCCCACGTTGCGTTGTTCTCACTGAAAACTGGTTCTTGAAAGGTAATTCCGAATCCGCATGTTCCCAAAATCGAACCCTTTATAGACAAACATGTTCAGATAAATGGAATTACCTATTGGATAGCTAGCCGGTTAGGTTCCGAGTGGAGAGCTCTGTCGGGCGATGAGGAAACCCGTGAATGTGTCGCTGTTGTTTTGTTTGATTTTGTTAATGAGAAATTTCCATCTGTCATCCGTATGATTCCTAAGAGCAACAGGCTATTTAACATTTCTCGTTTTTGCATTGCCGAGTTTCATGGGTCGCTTGCCGCTATTTTCTGTGATCGTGTTGGGTTCGAGATTTGGGTATGGAAATCGAAGAACACGTGGTCTCTTTATTCCACTTACATTTTCGATGACGATGATGATGTTTGTGTTGAGCGTGTATTGGGCCTCTACAAGAATGATAAAGTTCTGTTTCACGATTCAAAGGGTTCCCTACTGCTTTACGATTGTCATGCCCGGGAGTTGAAGGATCTCGACATTCGTGGTTCTTCTCTCAGGGTTTACCCTTATGTCCAGAGCACGTAAAAATGATTGATCGCCGGCCTTCATTTTACGTGCAATTGCAAGTGTAGTTTGTTTTTCCTTTGAGATATTCTGGCCCGTAATGATATGATGTAAGAGT